AATATAATGAATGGTGGCTATTTGTTTACCAGTTGATAAAGCCATAAGTCAAGTAGCATTCAGTGTACAGTCTGACTTTAGTTTTTATCAGACTGTGTTGAGGGCTGAAATGTATCAGCATTCCTGAGCTCTACTCAAAATGACAAATCTTTCCATCTCTTGTTCTGACAGTTGCTATTTCTGACTGCTCTGTACCTAGATGAAAACTCACAAACTGGAAAGTGTTGTTATGTTACTATGACAACAGAGGACTGTGAGCTGTTATGTCATTAGCTACAGGCATATTTAAAATTGGTTTTAATATGGTGATTCTGATGCTCACTGCTTCTTTTTTCTGCTTTGATGTGTTTGAAATATGTGTGAAACAATACATTATAACGTCTTGGGGTTTAAGCTACTAACCATAAAACTGCAAGTTCAAGTTGGGGTGGGGATACTTTGTTGCATGTTATTCTCCATCTCATTTAAGACGAACAAATAAACAAACAACTAAACTGTTGATCCCACACACTGGGTCTCGGTCTGGTATCAATTATCATTCAATGCTGGTATTATCAGACAACCACTTCCACCACAGATCTTACCTGGGGACACTGGGAATGAATGCACTAACAGTTAAAAAAGATACGGTACACTGACTAACCAGCCTCTACCTAATCTCTATAAACATATATTTGCATATGAATGCAGAACCTGTAAGCAAGGGAACAGGATTTTGGCATCAGAAGCATTCAGGTTTCCATTTGTAGTCCGCTTAGTATTAACCAATCATGGTTGAGCGGGCTTTGGTTGCATACAGGTAAACATTCCCTGTGGAGAGCGAAATAGGTGGAACACATTGGCTGAAATGCAACCCAGGAACCTATCAGCCATTGCCAGATGACAATTTAGCATTTAAAAAAAAAAGTTTTTAGAGATTAGCCGAAATGTGTCTTTCTCTCATCATGGTCGCATCTCAAGTGGCTAATCAGACTGCAGAGGAAGTGTTGGCCTGAATATCATTTTCCGGATGTAATGTAATATCACTTCATTATGTAAAATGTAATACATTTTCACCTGCATTTTGTCATAAATTATTACATATTATTACAAAAAGTGGGAGTTAGACTTTTTTTATGAACTGCATTTTGAATGCGCTGAAGCTTTTTGATGTGCTTTCCACACATCCGATTCGAGTCGAAAGAAGAAATGAAATGAAAGTGCAAGTTTTTTCAGGTTGCTGTTTGACATGAAGTCCCTGAGTTTGGCTGTATTTGTAAGATGGTAACAAGCTTTTATGTGGTTACTTACACTAAGATCAGAGTCAAATATAAAGCCAAGATAGGACCATAGGTCAGTGGCGGGAGTCTAATTTAATATGTTTATTTTAGATTCATTTTTAAAAATATAACATGTACAGATGAAAAGATTATTATTACAACCAATATTTAATCAGATAAACTTGTTAAGATCAATATCTCTTTTGCAACAGAGACAGTAGAGATAGAGATACATACATATATAGTAGAGATAAGACACACAACACACAGTCAGTCATAAGGACATACAAACAGCATAAGAAACAATCAGTGACAGAATGACTGATGGCTGCACACACTGTTTGTCTGACACAGCTGACAGGACATACAGCGAGGAACAGAGGGAGTGAGGGAGGTGTCTGAGCTGGTTAATGTCTACCTGCCAATTTGGGGACGGATGGTGTGAAAGAGTATAAAAAGAGAGACAAAGAGGCTTGGAAAGGCCAAAGTCGCTGCTCTTTTCTCTTGAAGTTAGCCTTTGTGTTTTTTTAAGGCATTTTGTGGATTTTTGCTTCCAGCTTTGTTGCTGAGTTCTTCTCCTTAGTCAGTTGTTTGCATTCAAGTGCATTTATATTATATTTATATCCTGATGTATCACATTAGCAGATTTTAATAAGATATCCTCAGTGTCCTAAAATGTTTATCCTCACGTGGTAGTTTTTGCTTTTGTCGATTAAGACTTTATATGCCAAGCAAAGCAACAGACATTTGTCAAATATATTATAGCACAGACTCTCCTCCTTTGACTGACCATTTGTTTCTACTGTCATCCCAGATATTCTTTTAACACTGAAATATTGGTGACAGTGACATACAACCATAACAACAAGTCCTCAATGTTTTATTTTCTCTCTAGACATGTTTTTTCAGATTTCTGACAGGGCTGTTTCTTCTTCTGATTATCTGGCTGGATTCCACTGTAACATATATTACCACCTGGCTGAATTTATTCTTATTTTATTCAGTTCTACCCATGTGAATAAAATTGAAAGAAATTGGTTCGCCTTATTTCATTTCTTAGAACATCAGAAATGTGTGTAAGATTCACTTGACAACTTGACAAACATGGTCTAGCCTGGGTCTTTGTCCTGTAGGGTTCAGTCAAATCAGTTCAACTTCGACAGGCAAATTCATGACATTGACTGATTGCAAATGGTCCCGGCAGTGCTGACCTTTTGAGAAAATGAAGTGGAACATACCAGAGTCTAATGCTCCATGGACCCAAAAACACAGAAGCAAGAGAAAGCCTTAGGAAAAAGAATCTGCCACCTTGGAACACAGCATCCAATTTGTGATTCTCCAAACTCATCTTGGTGGTCTTTCTGGAAGGATCAACATGCGTTAGCTAGTCCTTCGCCACCCTCCTTCCAATCTGGGTTGATTGCAGTTCACACACTGCGCAGCTTTGTGTCTCTACAGTAGGGATGGGATGATATACTGCATATAAAGCTCAGATTAATTGTGGTGAATTTCCATTATAATCGGAAATATCTTCACAGGGCTTGGCTTAAAAAAGCTGTCCGGCTCTCCAGCATACAGTCCTATATTGATTTCCTGATTGATTTTGATCAAAGGGAAGCTTGTCTCTTTCCAGTCATTCCAAAATCCTGATCCTGTCATCATGGCTAGAGGCTAATCTTGCCAGTTGTATGCCCCACAAAAAAAAGTTAAATTGGATGTGTGGAAATAATATAGATTCCAAAATAAAGAACAAGGAGATGAGGTGTAATGCAATAACTATTGATTTTTGTATGTTTTATTTCCATTTTAAAAGTATGAAAAATATTTTCATGATTATCGTGATAATATTGTGTATCGCAATTACTTTGGCCAAGATGATTGTGAAGAAATTTTCATATTTCATTGTCCAATTACTACTCTACAGAGAACTAAAGCCTTATTCAAAATGAAAAAGGCATTTGTAATAACAGGCACTACATATGTTTAGATTAAAAAAAAAACAAACACCATATAGTGTTTTTCCTGACCTTTAACAAACCGTTTTTCCCATGAGCCCCAGACAATTGTGTGTCAAACGTTACAACTCTATGGGTGAGCTCTCTATTAGAAATGGAAATAATTCAATGATAATGACAATTAAACATCACTTAACTGTAGTTTTTTGAGATTTGCTACAATATCACAAAACAAAATATCGCGATACTCAAGTGTATTGATATTTTCATACCTAATAATGTGGATTAAATCCCAGTATCCCTAGAATCTTACACCTGTGTACCTGGTACTCCTTGGCAAGCATTATTGGCATTACTGTGCTAACAGAGGATACAGAATGCATCCATTTTGTCACAGACTAAATGCAGTACACAACATTCAAGTAACCACCATCAAACACTTATATCACATGGATGTGCAAATTAATTTCATCATGCTGCTTTCTATGTGATTAGGCACTTAGGCTACGGGCACACTGCATGTCTTAATGTTCAATGATTTTTTTGCGTGGTTGTTCACATTATGATTTAAATGCGACCGCCATCAGACTCCATTGTGAACAGTCTACTGCCACAAAGTAACCCGCATGCGCAGCACGCTGTGTTTACAGACGTAAATATACGTCACATGTCAGTGTGTGTGTATCAGTTTTTAAGTATTTGTGCAATCGGAGCTGACAAAATTATGATTATGATTATGATATTGCCGTGACCCGCCTCCTCCGGCGCAGAATTGTGACGTACGTCTCACTTCAATGACATAAAAGTCGGATGAAATGCGACCTTAGCGTTCAGACTGAGGTCGCTTTGAAAAACTCTGATAAAAAAATTAGATATGTATTGGATTTAAGACCACATGTGAAAGTGGATCGGACATTACAAATCAGCAGCTTACAGACACCTCCATTCCTCCCTCTTCTTTACACTTCTCTGTCTCCCACCTTCTCTCACAATTATTTCTTTCTTTATCTGAACCGGGCTGTCCTCTAATCTTAGCTCTTATTTTTTCAGCCTTATCACCATTCCAAGTCATGCGACTCTAAACCTCCTTCGATATTTTCTCTCAGTGTTGCCTCCTCCCTTTTTTTGTGTTATTGTTGCTTTAAGGCACACTATTTCAGCATATCTGCACTTGGATGGAAACTGCAATAGTGTGGAAGGAATGACAAAAAACTGTGTGTGTGTGTGTGTGTGTGTGTGTGTGTGTGTGTGTGTGTGTGTGTGTGTGTGTGTGTGTGTGTGTGTGTGTGTGTGTGTGTGTGTGTAAATTGTCTTGTACTTGTACAGCGCCTTTCTAGTCTTCCGACCGCTCAAAACGCTTTTACACTACGTGCCACATTCACCCTTTCACACAAAGTCGATCGAAGAGAAACCGATGCTGATGACATTGAACCTGATGCACAGCTGTGTGTGTGTGTCTGTGTCTGTGTGTGTCTGTCTGTGTGTGTGAGAGAGAGAGAGAGAAACAATGATAGAAAACACAGCACATTTTATCATGTGATCTAGGTCAAGGGGTTTGGGGAAAGTGGTTTAGATTTAGTTTTTTAAGGGAAGCCACAGCAGCCACCCATGGTGACAATATGAGCATATGAAGTGATTTAGGTAAAAGGCACCACCAGGGGGCATTTGTTATTGCACACAGGTTTAAGGAAGAATGTGTTGAGTGAGAGGATGCAGTAACAGATTGAGAAGAGCTCATGGACCATGCGTAATAATACCTTTTTTTTGTTTTACTCTCCCCTCCTAGTATGGGCTACTGCATCTTGGTGGCTCACGGCCTGGGTCGGCTGTGCTCGGTGGTGGGCCGCTGGGGCACCACGGTCCTCAGCGTCTCCATGCTGCTGCTGCTCCTGCTCTTCTCCTGGAAGACCGTCCAGCAGAACCATGTCTGGCTCTCCAGGGAGGCCCTCTTCCGGTAAGTGTGTGTGAATATGCTTAACATATGCATAGGCTCACACACCAGCACTGTCTTCATCATTACACTTTTGCCTTTGTGCTGTAAACAGTCCATCAGGTTGTAAAACCTGGCAAATCAGCGCACGATAAGTACATTTATGTGCTCATTAAAACGAGTTGTAAAAATGTTACAGTATGCGGTCCCCTCTCTTTAATGATAACAGAGCATCTCCAAACCTGCAGCTCTTGTAGAGTGTTCCCGGTCTGCAGAGGTCAGTACCTATCAAAGAGGCTCCAAGGAATGAAAAGAACCGGACACAGGGTCATGGGGGGCCAAGGCTCATTGATGCACGTGGGGAGTGGAGGCTGGCCAGTGTGGTCCGATCCAACAGACGAGCTACTGTAGCTCAAACCGCTGAAACAGTTAATGCTGGTTCTGATAGAAAGGTGTCAGAACACACAGTGAATCACAGTCTGTTGGTATGAGGCTGCAGAACATTCTGACCACCAGGGTGCCCAGGTGGTCAGAATGGTATGACTGACCGGTGTATATAAAAAATTGGCAGCATTCAGTATAAAGGGACTGAAGTGGCCAAGACATCCCTGCTTTTTTTTCCTTTAAGATATTTTTGGGGCTTTTATGCCTTTATTTAATAGGACAGGTTAAGATAGACAGGAAATTGGGAAGACAGACAGATGGATGAGATGCAGCAAAGGGCCAAATCGAAGTAATACATGATGTAATCAGGTGCTACACAAATCGAAGTAATATATGATTTAATAATGTGCTACACAAAAAAGACATCACGAGTAAATTCCCAATTACACAACGCCCCCTGTACGCACTGTCCCCCAGGGGGACTTTCTTGTTGTCTGTCATTTAACCCCCAAATTCTACTGGGCACGTCTTTATAACGTTGTGTCTGTGTCACGGGTTGGCTCTGTGATCCATGCGTCTTCAAATCCCACCGAGAGTGTTTCAGAGGCGGGGCTTCTTCAGAGCATGTTACCTGCCCTACGTTGTTTACTTGTGGATTTTGTCTTCAAAAAGGATACACTCAATTTAAAATCTCCTCCAACCTGCCTGACTGATTTACTTTTGGCCTGGTGCCACTATGTTGATGTAGGGATGTACCGTGGCGCTTCTGGTGGAATTTGGGGGTTACTGTCTATATATGATTTGTGCAGCTGTATTATTTTGGAAGAAATTAAAAACTAACAGATCTTCCAGATTGTGCATTTATAAGGGTGTGGAGAGAAAAGATGAACAGAGACACTGATAGTACGGTAGTGATGCACGGGTCGACATGACCTGTGGGTTGGGCTAGAAAATAAAACAGGTTCAGGAGGGCGAGTCAACAAAGCACAATTCCAAGTAAGTTATTAAGAAACACTGTGAGCAATAGTCTCTGAAACGCACACACATGCTCCACAGCAAAAAGTGCCTCCAGGGGTCAGCTCAGCTGCCCGATGCTCAAAGTGCGTCAAAATGGGTTAAATCCTGGAACTGTGGAATTTTTCCACAAAATGCAGCCAAACACTGGGCTAAAAAAGGCCGCATATACCTACACATGTAGGCTACTTTATTGTTAATATTCACAAAAGCCCTGATTCTACCAAGCAGTTCTGTTCAGTTCGATACGCAGTTTTTGCTTTTCTACTGTCAAAAGTTGTGGATGGTACCAATAGAACCTCAGTGGAGCTACGATGCTGATGTAGTGTATCAGTGTATTTTCCACATTGTTTTGTTCAGCAGTCTTTTGTATCGCTGCCTGCAGCCTTTTCTTAAACAAAGCTTGTGTCCTTGTTTTAGGCTAATAAACAACCGTGTGTGTGCGTAGCAAGGAGCGAATGAGAGAGAGAGAGAGCGACAGAAAAGTGACTGTGAATAGGAGATGAGCAGAGGCAATGGTTAGCTCTAAGCTGTCAATCTGGCAGTAAATGTAGAGTGTAAGTTACAGTGTGTCAGTTAATATACACTGCAGCTTCTCAGGGTTTCAAGGGTACTGCACCGAAAAACGCAGCTTATAAGGAAAGGATGCATCGTTTGTGTGTGTGTGTGTGTGTGAGAGAGAGAGAGAGAGAAAGAGAGAGTTCATGTGTTTAATGAAGGGTTACATATTATGCTGCTATTCAAAATGGCTGCAATTAATGAAAAATTGTGTGTGGGGGAAAAACTGCAGTTTCACCATCAGTGAGTATAAATCTGTGACATTGTATGATTTACTTTAGGGGCATGTGTAACTATGTAGTTGTTACTTAGAGTTTAGTTGTGACTGATCTCTGTCGTCCGACCACTTTTATTTTAGTAATGCATAAATCACAACTTAGTCATTATTTTGTTATAACTAGGCTAAGTTTGAACTTCCACACAGCTGCTGCAACAGGCTTCTGAAAATGATGACATGATGGCATAAATCAGATTGATAGAGTGTGTCTTACACTTCACCAAGAGGAATATTATAGGAAACATGCTCAGTGTAAACGCAGCATTGGAGCTGCCCGTCTTTCTCTGTGATGGTTGTTTTTGTTTGTGATAATAACCGTCAGCAGACTGATGCTTTGGTGATATGCAGTGGGTACATGCAGCTACACAAATGTGTCTTTCACTAAACAACACAATGAAGTCAGTGGAGAGGACTGTGACTGTGTGTGTTTTGTAATTAACTTAACTAAATCAGTGAGCATGTATAGGAACTGGTAGATCAATATATACATCTTGCCTATATGATGTTGTTCAGCCTGCGTGCTGTTTATTGATTTATGTCTGTGTCTGTCGCTCTCTCTATGACAAATGAGAATGACAAACTGTAAAGCCCTGAAGGTTTTTTTTCCACACATTTCTTTTTCCATTTTCCAGTCAGACCTGCAAATGTTGGAAGACTGATTCTGTGTATGTGTGTTTACGTGGAGGTTGTTTATTACTACTGTTGGTGTGTTAACACAGAGGTACACACAGTTGAAACACTGGCAGAAGCCCCTTTAGGACAGGATTAACATTACAGGAGGTGGAGGTGGGGAATGACATTTTCACTGTGCTAATGTAACTCCGGACGACATTTTAACCATCAGGAGATTACAGGATCTGCTCTGTAACAGACTCCGTGGACACTGAGTTGAAGGGGATAGAAGATACTGCGTGAGGAGAATTTCAATCATAAATCTCACTCCTTCTCTGAATCATTACTCAGTCAAATCTGAACACACAGACGTGAAACGCATATTGATATCATTCAGTGTGACTTTCATTTTCACCCATGAGTAGCTTTTACGGGGTCTTGCTCTCCTGATGGTTTTAATTTTTGTGTCACCATATTGGTTTCCAAATAGTTGCTTTACACAAAAGTCAAATTTCAGACTGAGCTCATAATTTTTTTAAATAAAAAAAAAAAAAAAAAAACTAACCCCAGTGGCCGTTATGTGAACTGCCGTCAGCATCCTGATACTCTCACTCAGTATACAGTCCGTAGGCCGGGGGCGTTTCTAGAGGGGGCACCTGGGGTGGCCAAAAAACGTGCTGTTTTATTTGCATGTGGTGTAAATGTGATATTTTCGCCTAGTGTATTTGAATATTTCTGCAAACTGAGGTCCATAAACAGTGTTGGAACTGGACAAATTGGGAATAATGGAAATCTGCAACACATACTTGATGCCACCCCTGTATAATTCAGTGCCTCACTTATGCAAATATATGGTTTCAAAGGAGGTTTTCAGTAAAAATGTGTTTTGACATCGGGTGTTTTATACTAATACTCAGCTAATTTATGGAGACATACAGTACAGTAGACAAAAAAGCCTGGAAACGCCCCTGTCGTAGACACAAGTGAGCATCATCCTGGGCATTGGCCAAAAAGGCCTTAGATGAGACAAAAAAATTATAAATTACAATCATTTAGAATAATGTTACTATCCTGCAATGTTTCTATATTTTATCTGGACCATTTACTGCAGCACCAGCCGACAAAGAAACGTGCCAATGGCAAGCTAGCCAGATCAGCCCGACAAGTCAAGATGAAGCTATTTGACAGTATTTTGCTAAAACAACAACATCACAATATATTCCACAGGGTTTGCATTAATATTAGATTTGACTTTGGACTTTGTGTTGTTTGTAGACATTAGCGGTATCCATTTATAAGCTAACATTAGTTTAACTGTTGACACTGTAGGGAAGCATAAAGAGAAGCCACTTGGGAGCACACATAAATGTCACACCATCAGTCTACAGGGAACCAAGAAAACCTGGGAAGGTCAACCCATTTTTTAAGTTACGTTACAACCTGTTCACTCATTGGCAATAAAAATTGATTACTATATAAAAATGTTACATAAAATATGTCAGAATCTTAAATATGGAGCCTTTAAAATACAAGGACGTCCATCCGAATGAGATTCAAACTACAGGAGGACCAGTGAGTAATAGCCGGCTGTAATTATTTCTGGGGTGGGGGTGAAAATGACCCCCAAAGGCACTCTGGGCAGGATTAAAATGACTGACCAGATCAGGTGATGTTAAAATCACTCCACTTCCCCAAGAGACATAAATCCAGTCCCAATGGGGCTACAGACTTTCCTTAAAATGCTTTTTTCACTCTCAGTGATTTTGCTCAGATGTCTGCATCTCATTTCTTTCTGCACACTGACTTCCTCCCTCCTCCTTCTCCTCCTCCTGTCCTCCTTGTTTTCAGCTCTGGTATCCAGACTCTGCCTCACAATGCCAAAGTCCACTACAACTACGCCAACTTCCTGAAAGACAGCGGCCGGCACCACGAGGCCATTCACCACTACACCATGGCCCTCAGGTCAGTTCTCTGACTGCACTAATCCAACACATTCACACAGTACCTTGGTCAAGCTGTTTCCTGTTGCTAATAAAGCTGTTTCATTCATGAGTCTGTTCAAAGTTTTTCTTCAGCATCGAAACCTCACGGCTGATCATTCCCTCATGCTGCCACCATGCGTCTATTTTTGTGCATGTTTTGCAAAAACCCAGAGCTTCAGTTCATGTTTCAAATGCTGCAAAACCTCTCCTTGAGTCACTGTACATCACTCCATTCTACTCAAAAGTCAGATTATTTGAACTTGAACTCTACAACTTAAATGTAGAGGAAGTGCGCAGGGAAAATGTTTAAAACCTAAGCTAAAAACAGCTACCAGAGCCCATAGTCATCAGGTGTCTCAGAATCACTAGCAGCACTGTGCTGAAAGTTAAGCTAACACTAAAAGTACTTCTACTACAGTCATGCTTGAGAGCAGCGTCTTTTTCCACAACTTAACGCTGAAGGGTGAGGAGATTTATAATTGCAGAAATTAGTGGTTGTGACAGACTCAAATCACTGTTTCAAAGCCATGTTTTCTATGTCGCTGAAAGGTGTAGAGGACTTCAGTTAATGCAGCTTTTTCATCGTACACGTCTGTCAAGAAATTACTCAATCTCTGCTGAAACAGTATCTTTTATTACAGTCATTGTCCTCAGGGAGTGTTTCTCCTCCTGCAGAATATGCACACATGTCTTAGCCTGAACGCCATCTCCTGCAGCTCTTAACAGCTCAGAACTCCTCTGGAGCTCTCCTAAATATCAGCACAGACTTCATAAGTTTAGAGAGTTGACAGAAAGTTTGTCCTCCTGGACCTAAATGCATCACTCACAATTTGTTTTGCTACTGAGGACTGATTTCCTGCTGTGAGATGCATGATAAGTTCTGCTTATAATTGACTCTGCATAAACTAACGTTTACGGTGTTAACTAAGTGTGACCTGGTGGAAGAACAAGCATTCACAACTTGATCTCAAACAAAATAATAAGTATTCACAGTCATACATATATATGTGACATATCTAAAGTTGAAATAGGTATCATGAAGAGTGGCTTCTTTCACAGTGTTATATCATTGTTGCATTAGGCTGTCATATCAGCAGCCTGTCACTACACATTTGCAGAAGAAGTCCGTACTGTACTGTATGTCTCCATAAATTGGCTCAATATTAGCATAAAACACCCAATGCCAAAACACATTTTATTGAAAACTTCCTTTGCCACCATATATTTGCATAAAACGTCCTTTGTCACAATACATCTGCAAATATATTGTGATATAAGAAGTTTGTATGGAAATGTGTGGTGACAATGAAAATGTAATGCAGATTTTAATGACAGTTTTATGTAGAAGGATTGTGACAGTTGGAGATTAATACAGATATATTGTGACAAGTAGCATTATCCAGATAGGTCGTACAGACAGTTCAAAGCTAATGTGTTGTGACATAAAGTTTCAGTATGTGGTGATACAGGAAGTTGCATACCGTTTTTTTTTTAGTGAAGGGAGTTTGTATGCAAACGAACCAGTGTGTAGGATTTAGTGGCATCTAGCAGTGAAGTTTCAGATTACAGCCAACTGAATACAGCTCATCTTCATGACTCACTTCTGGAGACAGCCTCAAGTGGCTGGAATTGCCGTTTTTGTTACTTCTGTGTTGGCTTCAATTGCAGGCACGGAGGTTGCCGCTTGATCTAGTGCCAGTGTTTGGTTTGTCCATTCTGGGCTACTGTAGAAAAATGGCAGTTCAACATGGCAGACTCTGTAGAAGAGCTCCCTCTGTAGGATGTCTATTGGTGATGTCTAATGTCTAATGTCTGATAAACAGTAGTCATAAACACACCTGATGCCCAACTCTCCCTAAGGCAGCCTTGGTCTTTGGAATGTGTTTGGCTAATGGCATAATGAATTACACTTCTCCTAACTAGAGTGAGACAGCCAGAGTGTGAATACATGAAGATGAATATAAAATATTATACTGCCTGTAAAGAATAAACATGGAATGACAAAACATAATATAGTTTGCTTCATGTTCACAGAACCTTATCCCTGAATGCATTTTTCCACTACAATATAAAGAGCTCATTCTAAGGTACAAAAACACAACCATTCTTATTTTCGGTGGTTATACACTAATGAAAACATACCTGAATATAAATGAATATTATATTCCATTTCTGCCTATAGACCCTCCTAAATGTTACACACTGGACCTTTAAAAGTTATTACCACATTTTGTAAACTAGTTTTTATTCACAACTCCCCAGTACAAGGTGTGTCCTTGAACATTTACAGGAAGAAAAAGCAGTAGTGTTATATAAATAGGTGAGAGGGATTTTTTTTACATGCATTTGGCACATGATGGATAGCCAGGAACTCAAGGTCACTGCATATAAAATAAGGTCTTTTTGTTTGATGGGACCTTCAAGAAAGCATGCACTATTTTCTGGCTTATATCCAACGTACCACACTGCACTGTACTTAGTGTATCCTGTTTATTTTTAGAGGTTGGCTCTGGTGGGAATTGAACCTTCAAGTATGACAGCATTTGTGGCACATCTACACACCAGACTTCAAAGCAACATTTTATTTTTATGTTTAGGGACTAATATTGTTGACAAATTTGCAGGTTTTTTCACACATGATTAAACTCAGTGTAATGAATATACTGTCAGATAAATGTGCTTACACATTTTAAGATACATGGAAGCAAGTTCACACACACCTTAGAGTGCACGTTCTCATGCGCGTAATGGCCTTGTTTCAGCTCAGAGCTTGTGCTCCGTTCATCCATCACACACACAGGCTGCATTAATGAAAGAGAGTGTCCATTAGTCGTTCCTGTCACTGGAGAGGCTTCCTGAGGAACCACAGAGATGCGTCCACCTCCGTCCCTCTCTCCCTCCGTTTCAAATGAGTTCATCTGTAATCTGGCAGCTGTTTGTCTGTGATAATTTGTAGAATTTGACTCATCTCTTGTTGACGGTTTTCAGTCTTTGGTCCAAAACCCAGACATATTAATTTACAATGATAAAACAGAGAAAGCTGCAAATCCTGTCTGAGAAGCTGGGACTGTTCTTGTTTTTAAATGGTAAAAAAAACCTGCTGTCTGTCTATTCAAACATCAGTCACACAGATTGCCGTGGCTGCTGTGACAAAATCATCTGTGGTCGCGTGTAAATAGTACAGTCACCAAATGCAGAGAGCGCATTAACTAAGACACACAGAATGGACCCCAACCAATGTCTGCCCAAACTCAAGGTCCCATTCACAAAAGATATCGCACTAATGATACTACAGTGCCGTCTGTTTGTTTTAGAGAGGAGAAATTACAGATTGTATGTTTAAATGTTCATTTGCAATTTTCTGTAGTTGTCCTAGTAATATTAGTTCTTAAGTGTACTGAAGTAGCATGGTTTAACTAAGTTTGAGTCAAAAATGTTATAAATGCAGTTGCAAGAACAATGCTTTCTGTGTTTGATTTTAAAATAGAACTCTCATTATGACTATTCTTCATATACATTAATGCCCCCTGCTCTTTCATTAATTTCTATCTGTGGGATCTCTGGTTTTCTATGCTCACTCTTTATGGAGTGTTTTCTCAGGCTGATTGTTCTTTAATTTAAGGTGCTTTCACTGTGCCCTCTAGCTGTTTTCACTTAGTTTCTCTCAGCAGTCGGACTTCTGTTGTTTTACAGTTTCATTCCCTTGTGGTAAATAGCAGGTATTATACTGTCTGTACCATCTGTGCATATGCTTGTACTGGCTACAGTCACTGCTGCCATATCAATGGAAAGTCTGGGCATAACATGCCTTATAAGTGCGCTTCAGTTAACATCAACTCTCTGAAGACACAAATAATTTTGCTCTAACTGCGTGTGGCTATTAACGCTGGTATTCGTGAATCAGATTTTTTTGCAATGAAGCTCATTTGCATAGAAAAGGCGACATTTTGCACTGAAGCATCAAATTCTTTTGCACCCACAAAAAGCTCCCTCATAGTTAGTTTCTGGCTGTTTGTCCAACTCATAAAATGTCTTTCATTATCTACAGCTGAGTAAATCTGCTGGACTGGATTATATCTTGCGAAATCAATCAGTCAAAAACACTTTCAAATCAAGATGTTAATATAAAAAGGATTTGTAGTTCAGCCTTAATCAGTGCTAATAACACTCCCATTTGTTGTAACCTTTGGAAAGTTAAGCTCTTCTTTTCTCTATTTCTCTCCTTGTAATGAATGCATGTAGCATCTCCAACAAGTTCTCTTTATTTCCTGGCTCTAAATCCCTCCTTTCCCTCATTCCTCCACTCTCTGCTCTTACCTCCTCTCCAGTATTCCTGCACAGTTGTGTGCTGCCAGTATGTGGGAGCTCCGCAGCACAGCAGCTCTCTGCTAATCCAGCTTGCCAAACCCTGAGCAGAGAGCCTCAGCAGCTTTCATCCGGCTCCAAACCACATCCCTGCTCATAATAATGTGAAACCCACCAGACCACTCACTCTCACTTTAATTAACCGGCCTCCGCTTCCTTTTCTGCTCCTTGTTTTTTTCCCCATAGAAAGGCAGAGAGAGGGACAGAGATCCCTTTGAGTCCCTCACATTTTTAATTCCAAAAGTGTTTTCTTAACAGCTGTCTTTGTTTGGCTGTTTCGTCCTGTTTTAATTTGTTGGGTTTAGACAAAAGAAGAGTGAGGGAGAAATATTTATTAAATGTTCTATTTTCATTCTATGTTATTGTATGTGTGTGTGCCTCAGTCAGCACTTATCTCCTCAGTTATGAATTGTATATGGGATCAGGCATAATTAAATAAAAAAGCCAATGACTGGATTCCTTCCTTCAGAAGGGCAACATTTATGTGACATAGGTGACATAAGCAGATGCTGATGCATCTGTTTCCTTAGATTGGTGCACCACCTTCTGCAGGGTGGACCGAATTGACTAATTTTAGTGATTTTGGCCAGGCTAGCAGCAGGGCTCCAAGGAAGGCGGTGTCAGTTGGTCTGTGGTGGTTTTATTTTATTTAGTGGCATCTAGCAGTGATAGCAGCAGCCTTTTTTTCAGGTCATTATACACTAACGAAAACAACGCCTGTTCAAGCTAAAATTAGGTGTTAAGTTCCTTTTTAAATGGAATATGACAAATATTGATCCTGTTTCCACAAAGGGACTAGCTAGACATTGAAAAGGATAACCAATAAGTTGGCATCCATGAATAAGTGGCTTTCAAAACAGCCAATGAATGACTTACCTAGTAGCAGCAGAACTGTAGTCTGCAGGCCTGTGGGAAGCATAGAAACCTGACTGTGAAGGTTGTGACAGCCTAAGTGGATCTTTCCTTGCTTGCTCAGCTCTATGGATTGTCGATCAAGCAGCACTGTGTGATGTGGAGCCTCTCAGTGTACAGGTAGACTCAGTCGATCAGTGCTCATCGCTGGTTTTCTCTCAGGCATTTCCAGCTGCTCCTCTTCCTGCGCTGTAGAACGCCAACCCATTAACACGCGGGACAAAGTTACCATAGTAACAGTGAGGAGTGTTGCCACAGCGTCCAGTCACTTCTTGCCCCACAGCGTCTTGTCAGGCTTGTGTCACCATTATGGGCCCTAGCTATAAAAGTGTATTTCAATTACACAGAGGTCTTTTGTAGCAGTGACGGAGAGCAGCAGTAAATGTCAGCAGAGAGGCTGCTGGCTGCAGCTACCACTCACTGCTGATTTATCTGCACCATTTGCTCTGAAGATTATCCTTATCACTGTGACAAAGCACTTAGTCCAATCAAGATCATGTTATGGCATGCTTCCCTCTGGAGGCGTGCAGCCATTAGTAGTTCCTAAGATGAACATAGTTTGACAGCAGTGCTCGGTTCCAGAGCTAGAGACTGAGAAAACTGGCTGTTACGGATGACTTTCAACACAACTCTGAATGAATGCTGATGTTGCTTCATAAGCAACTGTTTTCTAACAAATTCACCATATCAACTTAAATGGTGATAATATGTCAATGTTCACATCTTGTTTCTGTTGCCCTCAAGTGGCCAAAAATCCCCAAAAACAATTGCAGGTTTAAATCCTCCCCCCTCATTTTCTGCTGTTCTCTCCCCTCAGGTTATACCCCCGCCATGCCAGTGCCATGAACAATCTGGGCACTCTCACTCGCAGCCCGGAGGAGGCTGAGCGCTACTACAGAAAAGCACTGGACATCAACCCTCAGCATAACCGAGCTCTGTTTAACCTAGGAAATCTCCTCAAGTAAGACACACACACTCACTGTCACACACAAGCCGAAAAGGCTGTCGAAGAACAGCAACTTTTCACTTTCCACTGTTCTTTCTCCAGAACTCTCCAAAAAGCACCCAAAATTGCTCACAGCTGTCTTTTTTTGATCAAGGTTCTTTTTATTTTCAAATATATCATAAAAGACAAACACAACTTAAACACAGGACAGTCAAGTCCCTCACCCCAAAACCCCCCGCCATTGGTAACAAAATATATCAATATAAATGCATTAATACACATAAATTGACATACACATAGAAAAAGAAGTCAATAAAAATAACAATTAATAAATTAAGAATGAAAAGAAGCAACACATACATACATATGCATTACAAAGTTATTCTGGTAACTGCCAGGACATCAACAAAGGATATAAATTGTTGACATAGAGTTTTCTGGTGCACCCTCTGATGGTATGGTATATTTGACATTTGATTTTCAAATGGAGAGAATCCCTCCATTTGAGTAAAATAAAAATCATAAATCATATTTATATAGCACTCATTAAAAGGAGCATTTACTGGGGATACATCAAACAGAGAAATGATTGGAGATGGGTCTACTGTTATCCCACATGTTGTAGAGATGGTTTCAAAGATGGATTGCCAACATCCAGTTTGGGACATGACCAGAACGTATGTATTAATGTGACAGGAGCTTGTTTGCATCTGTCACACATAGGGTCCAAATCTGTCTTAATCTTAGATAATCTATCCTTGGACCAATGAAGATGATGAACAATTTGAAACTGAAATGCAGTGTGTCTAAAGGAGATTGGGAGGAATCATCCAAATGAATGAATCATACATCAAGATACAGAAACTAGAAACCTACCAAAAATAGCATATATATGTCAATATTTTAGAGACAAAATGTTTATTTTTAGGGTATCTCGTGACTTATTAAGAGGAGCCAAGCTCCTCCAGCTCCCCTATAGTTTTAACCTTGAATACTATAACATCAGCATGTCATTAGCATTGGGAAATAAAGGTTTTAAAATGAAATATCTGTATTGGCCCGAAATGAAAATCTCTACAGATATTGTGGGACCTTAAGAGGATGCCTAGATTATGCACATGCGACACAAACTAATGACTAAAGACTACTGACTCTGAGATAAACTTGCTTTTAACTGTGCATCCATTTGGACTGTGGGTTGTGCACATCTTCAAAAAGTAACATGACACAAACACATAGTTAAAAAGTATTTCTCTGGCTTAGCGGAGGCAGCAGTTAAGCTATGTCTACAGGAGACACCTAATGTTCAGTGCAAATAGGTGGAAAAAAGACTGTATTAACTGTATACTACTGTATATTGGTTTTGGCAGTTGGCCAAAATTAGTTGTAAAATATCTGCATATGGGAGATTAGCAAAAATCAAACATTGTGCATTCCTAGTGTCAATGCATTCGAACAAAGGCGTCAGTGTCTCCCTAGAAATACTAATCCTAGGGTTGAAAATGGACACCCTTCCAAGTATGGTTTTGTTGTGCTCTGATTAAACTGAAGATTGTCATCCATATATTTTTCAATCAACAAACCATTATTAAACCTTAATGATCATGATTTATTTCACTAATCAACCTCGGAGTCATGGTGTGCCAGTGCAGACACAAACAGATTTGAGAGACATTTTGCATCAAGTGTCAGTACTCAGATTGAAATGACCATTCAAGCTGAAGATGTAGTAGCATTAGTCATACTGGAGTCAGAGGCTACAGGGCCTGAAAAAGAATGATTCACCATGCTCGCTAAATGAAAGTCGTCTATTACCCCGACTCTTGACACCTCTGCTGTAATCTGACAAGCTCTTTATATAGCTATGGAGTTTCTTTGTTTGTTTTGCGGTCAAACAGCGTCAACTGCCCTCAGCTCCGCTGGCTCTAATAGAAAATTACATCAATAATAAAAGCCAAAATGAAGTCTATTATTATGGCTCAGCTCCATTACCATCGCCGTGTTACCAGTGGAGCTGTGAGAACAAACACACCAACTGAGCCATCGATCCACTGCTGCAAGTCCTTGACAGCTCTGTGTGTTTGTTTGTTTGTCTGTATTTGTGCTGTTTGTTTTGTGGATATGAATAAATTATATGTACTGTATATTATATACACTACAAGCGTGTAATCCATGGCTGTGATTGAAAGTATCATAATCTTGCTGCTACTAATGATGATGATGATAGTGATGAGAGTATGATGATCAGTGCTTGGGTCGTTACTCAGAAAGTAATATATCAAGGCTTATCCACACCAAGAGCAATAACTTTACACATCAAAAAAAGTAATGCATTACTTTGAACCTCGGTTAACTTTCTCCTTTCCTGTACTTAGATATGCATGTGCTAGTCTACCTATGTTGAAAGGACGACCACATTATATTACATACCGGTACATCACATCACATTACATTAGCTAGCTAACTTAAGATGTGATTATATATGTGTGTGGCTTTTATCTTTTAACCATCTTAAAAATAATATTGCTGTTGATTATGATAATGAGGATTAAGATGATGATGATCATGATATCTTGATGATGGTGATGAGAATCAGATGATATTACTACTGCTGATTATGGTGATGAAGATGATGAGAATGTGATAATATTGCTATTGATAATGCTGATGAGAAGTAGGATGATGATGTTAATATTAGGGATGATGATGAGCATACAATAATTTTGCCCTTGATGATGATGATGATGATGATGATGATGATGATGGTGCTGTGTTGCAGGTCCCAGGGGAAGGAGGAAGAGGCAGTAACTCTGCTGAAGGAGTCCATTCGCTACGGTCCACATTTTGCTGATGCGTACTCCAGTCTGGCGTCCCTCTACGCTGAGCAGGTGAAACATCCAGAAACCATGAAGAGCACACTCCCTGTCTCTCTGTCTCACTCCCACACACACACACACACACATTTGACACATTTGACTTTGGTGCCTGGAGGCGTGTTTTAACTCATCACTACTTTATAACTCCAGAATTAAATTAGCTTTAGTTGTAGATTGTTAATCTCTCTTCAGGCAGCTATAACACACTGTTAGAGAAGGCTGTTTGCTTGTACACACTCCAGCTTCCTGTAACCTTGGCCCCTGTTCTACTCCTGTTTTCATTCCATCTGCATTCTCCCACAGAAACGCTTTGCTGAAGCCAATGAAGTGTATCTGAAAGGTATAGAGAACTGTCCAGACAGCTCCGACCTGCATAACAACTACGGAGTGTTTCTGGTGGACACGGGTGAGTTCAACCATGTGGCTGATGGGTAAACACCACAGCCCTCTACTGCATAGACCACTGCCTATATATCAAAGTCATACTGAAGAACCATACTGGTTTCTCACTACTTTCCTGTTTTCTTAAGGTTACCTGAGATTTTTAGGATTGATTTTCCAACTTCCAGGCAGCTATTTCTTTTAGTTCCTTTAAAACAAGTGCTAGTTTGCAATAGCTGCAATCACGCACGCAACTCCACAAGTTCACATACAGCCTAACCAAATATCAGCCTCCTAGGGCAAAAACTGTGGCTGCCAAAGATTGGGGAAATTATTTTTTACAATTATTTTTGCACAAATCATTTGTTTGTTTGGACATATACATTCATTTCTAACTCAATATTAACTAAGCAAATATATATTAGTAAACACTGAGCATTATTAACTTGGCAGAGCTGTATTGAGTTGCATTAGATTGTACAGGTGTACTTAATAAAGTGGCCTGTGAGGGTATGTGCTTGTTGAAGTTTTTTTTCGCATTGCAAATTCACATTGTTCTTTTCAGGATGTGCAATTGTATTTGTTGTCTTCTAAATTTTCTTTCCAGTCAGAGGAGACCGACTGAAAGAGGGTCACTTATTCAGTTCATTTATAATGTGAAACAGGAAAAGCATTGCAGTTACTTTTATGGAGGTGGTCACATGTCTCATCTACTTGTAGAACAGACAGGAAGTAGTAGTATGCTTTGTTAAATGTGAGACAAAAAGGCACATTTGAAATATTTATATCATTTTAATAATATGCATATGATTATATCATGTAAGTCACCCAGAACATCTCAAATCTTTTCTTTACGTTCTCATTTTGTGATTCACACTCTGACACAGTGGGTGGTGGTAATGGCTGGTTGCTAGTGTTAGAGCTGAGTGTAATTTTTTTTTTCTTTTAAAGAGAGAAAAGTACAGTGGCCGAGAGTTATGAACAAACTGTAAAAGTCACAACACAAATGCAAAAGCCACAGCACAACCAAAATGACATCCACGAAACAGGTTTAGTGAAAACTCTGAATGTGTTCACCCTGAGATTAGTGAAACTCTACTAAAGGCGGGGCCAGTTACCATGGTAACGGACTCTGTGAGCAGTTTCTGTTTTCTCCTTCTCAAGCAGATGCGTCTTTTCATTCATTACATGTTCTCATTCATTAAGTCCATATCAAAGCACATTCATTAGCAGAGGTACGTCGAAATCAAAATCCTGGTTAGATATTAGTTTTAGTTTTAGATATTAGTTTGTTACTGAAGCTACTTTTATGTGCTGTCATTTCTTTGAACAGCATTTTTTGTCGACATCCGTTGTTGCTCGCTTCCATTGTTTTGGGGCTTTTTGCATTCATGTTGTAACTTTGCAATTTGCAGTTCGTTGATGCCACTCGGCCACCATAAACACAATAAACATGATAGATGAAAGATGATTTTGACTAATAGCATAAATTATTAATAGATTTTTAAAATGTTCTACAGATATCGCGATAATGTCACTATTGTGAATTATTTGTTTTATTTTGGCCATGATAATGGTGTAATGAAAATCAGATATCATGACAGCCCTATTTGTGTGCCAGATGTAACAATAAATGTGGAGGTCTTATGAAATTGTCTTGAGGGCCGGTAGTTACAGAACCCTGGTCAGGATAGTCACTGTTCAGCTAAATAATAGGGCACTTTTTTCACTGCGCAAGTGCAATAAGTTAATGAGCCCCACATAAACAAGCTAAACATCGAGTCGTAGCGGACCAGTCTGATGTGTGTTTGGTTTGTTGGCCTGTTGTCATCTGCATGTGATTTAATGAAGATAAACACAGTGGACGGCCATATATAATGCCACTGTGCTCAGATGCAGCACCAATCAGAGGCTCCAGATTTATAAACATATGTGTGCTGCTGCTGTCAGATGGCTGCAGAGATTTAATGAACTGAAGGAGAAGCTTTTCATACAGAATATATCTCTCTCTATATATATAGCTGCAGACACCAGATATTGTACCAATCACTCATATTCATTTATATATAAATGCAGCTGGATTTACCAATGTTCCTGCTTTAACCACATAAACAGTTATTTTAAATGCTTTTTTTGTTTTTGAATCCATCCACTTACTTATTTTAATGGGATATTTTTACCAGATGCCACACAAGTATGAATGGTTGTTGTACTATTGTTACCATCATAAACACTGAATAACAGAAAATCTGGTCCCACAGATTCACAACTCGTTTACGAGTCTCATTCCCAAGTAATCAAATACTGCCACTTGGTCAGTGGGCTTTAGGTATCCCTCTAGTATAATTTTTAGACTTAAAGTAGTTACGTCAGGTACAAGTAAGTTCCGTTTTATTCATATACTTAAGTTAAAGTTATGTCAGGTACATTAAGTAAGCTATGTTTTATTCATGTACTTGATTTTCCTCAGGTACGTTAAGTAAGTTATGTTTTATTCATGCACTTTAGTTAAAATTACGTCAGGTACATTACGTAACATTTATTCATACATACCTCAGGATCGTACAGTCTTTTCCTAACCCTAACCAAGTAGTTTTTAATAATAATAACTTTATTTATATAGCACCTTTCAAGAGTAGATGTCCCAAAGTGCTTGAGAACAAAAACAAGAAAAATAAGAACACAAAAAACACAACAACCAGCTACAACAAAAGCTCAAACTAAAATAGAACAAAATGTCGAAACAAATGGGTTTTGAGTTGCTTTTTAAAATTGTCAACACAGATGTAGTCACAGATCACAATTCCAAAAGCTAACTTGACTAGAAGTTGTGGACATTGCATATGTATTTTTGCTTACATGCTTACACGGCTCTGTACGCCCAGAAATGATGTTATATTTTGAAGCAGAGGGCCACTGACCAAGCTGCAGCATCTAACAAGTTGGGAGTGAGAACATGTTGACATTTAATGTTTGTTCATCTGTCTCCTGCCTCACTTCTCTTACATCCTTTGTTTTTTCCTGTATCCCATCTGTCCTTCCTCTCTTTCCTTCCTTCTTTCCTTCCTTCGTAATTCCTGCCTTATTTCTCTTATTCCTTCATTCCTTTCCTCTGTCCTCCCACCTCTTTGCCCTTTCCTCTCCTCCAGGAGAGGGGGAGCTGGCAGCCGCTCACTACCAGCAAGCTGTTAGACTCAAGCCAGCACACTATGTTGCCATGGTGAACCTGGGCCGCCTGCTCCGATCATCCAATGAGAACAAAGAAGCCGAGTCTTGGTACAAGAGGTTAGTGAAGTATGGTATTTTAGCAGCAACAGCTTCTACTCAGGGCAGCCTGGAGCAAAAAATATTTACCAGCTGCACAGATGCTGCTGTAAAGCTGATCCTGAACTTTGACCTCCCAGAAGGGCAAGAAAAAAGTTACTGGTTGCTTACTGGATTGTTTTATAGCTATTCTTTACATTCACACATTTTCAGTTTTTACTTAATCTGAACCAAATTGAAAAGAAATGGGTAGCTGGCTTTTTCACAACATCAAAGTGGAGGTTAAAGAAGGGAGAATTATCCATTAGATGAGTAAATCACACTCCAACCATATGGAACATACAGAGGTAGTCAATGGACAGAATCTTGTAAGAAAGTATGGAATGATTTCGTCTTTAATATTGATTTTCAAATACATTTTGCACTGATCTTGAACCTAGCTCTCTACTGAACGCACAGAGATGAAAGTGATATCGATCTTCTCGTCTAAACTCCTAAGGAGGGGGCATAGGCGAATATTTCCCAAAATGTTGGAGTGTTCCTTTAAGGGAGAATTTAAAAGGAATACTTAATTAAAAGGATACTTTGAGAACCTGCTTGCAATATTTTAGCATCATCGAATCCACATTTCGAGGCTCATGTGTAAATCAGTATATTGGACACTAATGAATCGCCATCATTTTGTATCATCACTAACCAGTGTAGAATTGCACATCGGTAATTTTCACATCTCTACAGTATAACCCATTGCATTGTGGGATCATTATAAATATAAAATAGTGTACATGCCATGGATGTTATGTGTAGACCCAGGCGCAGAACACAGATCAGGAGCACATTTATTGAATAATTACTGTTGTTGGAGATGGTTGAGGACATGGTACGGCTGGTTAGGACAAAGGGGAAGGTAGAATGGAAGATGCCATGGCAGCGTGGCCGTTAGAGGGAGTGAGGGAGAGTTGGTGGCAGGCAGATGGAGCTAAGCTTGAGCCAAACAGTCTGGCTCTGGATGTGTGTAGAGCTGGAGCTGTAAACTGACCAGGTGATGTGAGGTAGGTGAGCTGACTGGGAGTGGTGCTGAGCTATTGCACACTGTGCTAAATAGCAGAGCCAGAAGCCAGGAAGGGGGACCACACCGACAAACACAAAAGCCCTATTTGCACGGGACTAATATTATCAGGTGACTTCATGTGATGTGTAATAATTGTAGAGGACGTCTGGGATCTTAATCCTGTGTGAATCTGATGTGTTTGTAATTTGTAAAGTGCAATGTACCTACCATATTTCACCAAACACAGAGGTCCAGTGATAATATCAGTGCGAATTGGCATCTCTTTTGGGTCATATTTTTTAATTTTGCAAGCTATAACATTTTTTAATGTAACAGAGTGAACTTAACATGTTGTGGCAGTGGAAGAAACATGGCTCTGCACTTAACAAGATGCATACAGGTCCTTGATTTATTATAAGATCAGTAAAGTTAGTTTTTAAGTGGAGTGGTTTCTGCAGCTGTCTCTAAAACAACTTTCATGTATTTTAAACTTTTAATTATAAACTAAATTTATCTGGAATGAAACATCAGTACTAGTGTTCTGTTTGCTGTCCACAGCTGGCTGTGTGTCACATTTTGTCCTTTTGACTTAATTAAATACCTGCAGCATCACACAGCAGCAGAAACCATGAGCGTGTCTCTTAAGACTGAGATTGATGTGCGCATTTACGCATTTGGCACAGCAGCGGTAGCTTAATTAACATGACAACTGCGGGGTAATGCCTGTAAATTCGAATGTGAATGTGCCGGACGCAACAAATCACATGAGGTCGCCTGTTAATACTAGTCCTGTGTGAATAGTGCTGAAGACAGAGACACCATTCGGTGTAGCAGAGGCTTTCCATTGAGCCAACATGCACAGTAAACACAGTCAGGGTGCTTGACTGTGTTTGACCTGAATGGAACAGAACCGTAATTAGCATCATTGGTAACACCCGTGTTTAGCCTACTGTTTCATATCAAAGTGCCTGCTGTGAAAAAGGTTTATTTGGCGTCTTTAATATATTATTAGTCTGTTATTAAAATGGCCTTACATTGGGTAGAAAGCACATTATGACTAGTTTAGCACTTGAGGACTTGAGTGTAAAGACTTGAGACTTACCTGTGACTTGCAAAACAATGACTTGGTCCCCCCTCTGGATTTTCACTGTGAGCCAGCTGGTCAAGAAGCAAAAAGTCTGCTGGATAACCTGTAGCAAGGGTCAGATAGCAGAGATTCTGTAGATAGAGCAAATATAAGAATGCCTTGATTCAAGAAGCAACAGGGTTTATTGGAATACAGTCTTAAAGTATTGACCATGAACATTGGTGTACACTAACTACATTATATACAATTTTATGTGTTTGTTTTATCACTGTACACGGCATATAAACACAATTTAAAGAGAACCACCATCATGAAAAGACATGTTTGTGACCTCTGACCTCTACCTGCAGGGCCCTGCAGGTGACGAGAAAGGTTGACATCCTGACTCCACTCGGAGCTCTCTACTACAACACGGGCCGCTACGAGGAAGCCTTGCAGGTGTACAGAGAGGCCGCCACCCTGCAGCCAGACAGCACCGACATCTGGCTGGCTCTGGTGAGCGCGCGCGCGCACACACACACACACACACACACACTAATACACTCATTATATCATGGATTGCCAGGACATCTGGGTGTGTATGCATGTGGTTTAGGAAAGCTGCCACATCAATCGACATCTGTCTGACCTCAAACATTTAGCCAAACCCTGAAAAAACAGTTTCTCTTGTTTCACACAGACTCACACACACTGTATTTCTGTCCCAGGCTCAGGTCTTAGCTATGGCCGGTCGTACCAAAGAGGCAGAGAAGATGACCCTGGACATCATATCCAGAGAGGGCAGCTGTATTGAATGCTACCGCCTCCTGTCTGCCATCTACAGCAAGCGTGGCAACTACACAGAGGTGTGTGTGTGTGTGTGTGTGTGTGTGTGTGTGTGTGTGTGTGTGTGTGTGTGTGTGTGTGTGTGTGTGTGTGTGTGACTGTAAATGTGTGTGTGTCTCATAACCTTGGTGTCCGTTGCTCAGAAGTAAGATAACACACAGCATGTTCAGACAATAGCACTCAGGAATGATAAACTCTTAGCAGAAGACAGTTTCCGCTCCAGCAGTTACCGTGGAAACCAGTCGCCTCCGCTGTACAACAGACCAGCAGCCATTAGCTGGCGAGCAGCTGCCACTCATTCTCCCACTCCGTTCTGTCACCACCATCAGCACCTCTGCTCGTCTGTCTTTCACTTTCACTGTGACCCAGTTTCACAGTAAATTCTGTGTGTGCCAGTGTGGTATTGATGGGCCACATCACTGTTGCCACTATTGTCCCACAATGTTTTCATAGAAGAGGGAGAAGCCACGCAAAACAAAAAATCGAAACCGCTTTGTTCCCATCTGCCTCACATTATAACCAAACTGCAGATCAATCCAGACTACACCATGTGTCACAAAAATAATGTAAGGATGTATTTTCTTGTGTTTGAGCTTTGCTACTGTGATTGAACGTGGCCAAGTAATTACAAGTGCATGCACACATACAGTATGTGTCACATGTTGCAGATGTGACGCTACACATAGCTTCCTGTGTGTATGTGTGTGTGCACGGCTCATCAGTGCATTCACTCCAGTACAATCACAAGAAGCGGAATGCCAGTATCATGACCAGTGGGTGAAAGACGTATGTAGATTGTATTCTTAGAAGTGAGAAGTAAATGTAGAAATGATTCTGGAGACCCTTTTGGACAAAAGCAGTAATGTTTGTACGGCCTGATTTCATTGATTTCAAGGGGAATCCGACCAAATTCAACCTGGTGGCAGGCATTAAGATTACCTATATAGACATTACCAGTCTTCTCACTGATGTCTTGTTTATTTATGTAGGTCATATAGAAAAAGCTGTATTAAATGCAGACTCTTTCATAACCAGTTAAAAACTCCTTGTAGTATGTTTAAGTCAATGTAGAAATACCATCGATTGCGTTTCTAATTTTATTAAGTAAAAGTAAAAAAGTATTATCAGCTAAATGTACTTGATACTATGTCCTGTAATTATGCAGAATGGCATTGGTATTTTTTATCATAACTGATGCATTAAAGGGGAACTGGGAAACTCTAGCCATTTCTTCGCTGGTTTTCACTTTTGTCGTTGCATGTTTTCTCAACAAGCGCCCCCCACACCTCGGGGAAGAAAATTTAAAAAACCCTTAAAAAAAAAAAACCCCCCCCCCCCCCCCCCCCCCCCCCCCCCCCCTTTTTTTTTTTTTTTTTTCCCCAACTTTTTTTTTGGGAAAAATGCTAACAAGGGGGAAAAAAAAAAAATCCACCCTTTTTTTTTTTAGCCGGGGGGGCAAACAATGGTGGGGGGGGGGGGGTTTTTTTTTAAAAAAAAAAAAAAGAAAACGAGTTTGTGTTGTTGCACAACTCTTCACGGGACGGTGTCCCAGTTACAGGTTGGTCGCCTGGGGACGTGGGGAGCTGGGAGCACTAAGAGGGACCATCCAAATGATTTCTAAACGGGTTTATTAAGTTGAAAAAAGCCCCAAATTCCCCCCAAAAAAAAAAAAAAAATTGTCCGGCGGGGGAGAAATTTTATTTTTTTTTTAATATAGCTATATACTGTTGGACGTAGTTTATGTAAACAATGCATGTTTTAAAAAGTAGATAATTTATACTTTGTTGTAGTACTTGAGTAAAGACATGTACACAGTTGTTCCAATTTTACAAGGAATGAGTTTTACTTTCAGTAGTATATAAAAATTAAATTAGATGTTTAACTTGCAAAGAAAAGGAAAAGATACTTCACTCAAAATGCATTATTTTATGAAGTTGTCTCACCCTATAGTCTGTAGGCCAGTATTGATTGTAAAAGTTGCACCTCTTCGGTGGCTAATATTACTGTAATGATCCTAAGTCAAGCAGCAGAGGTTAAGTGGCAATCTGCAAATACTATTGGCCTTTTATGAGCTAATTATGCAAGAGTAGTCTTACATGTCACTGTTTATGAGACAAAAATTAAGAGTATATCCACTTTTCCAGGCACCACTATATGTCTGACTGTGCTTGACCAATAACCACATCTGGATGAGTTCCTCCGACTGGTGGTAGCTTTGGTACTATCGTGTCTGTACAGAGACCCATACCAAGCACGCAGTGCAGTAGGAGACGTTGCACAGGGCCAGGATAGTTGTTTCCCCTTGTTTCCAGTCTTTATTCTAAACTAGGCTAACTATGTCTTAACTCCAGCTCTCTGCAGCGCCTCTCTACTAAATTCACACACACATTCACAAATTGCATCTTAATTCTTCCTCTCTCTTCTCTCTGTCAGTGTGGCAGTGATGAAGCTGACGCTGCTCTTTCTCAGAGACAGGAATACATTATCACGTTCTTCATCTCTCCTCTTTCTGTCTGCTGAGCCCCGCTTTAAATCCCTTCAGACTTCCTCTTCTCTGCATTCTCTGCTTCTTCTCCTCTACCCTCCATCCCTCCCTCTCCTTCAGAGGCCTTCATGGTTCAAAGTAGCAGCTGTGATTCGTGCTCTGAACCTGCATTGACTCTCAACGACCACACCAGGAAGTACACTCAAACAGCAAGATGCCCACCTCTGAGAGCAGGGGATTTCTTGTGTGTGTATGTATGTTCAGTAATGTGTGTATTGACTGTGTGTGTCTGTGCCAGGCTCTCGAAGCTCTGGACAGGGCTCTGCTGCAGAATCCCAGTGATCTGACTGTGAGAGCAGAGCTGTATTTCTCCAAAGGAAACCAGCTGCGAGAGATGAACCAGCTGGACCGAGCTTTTGAGGTACTGCTCTCTCCCTACTCTCTCTCTCTCTCTCTCTCTCTCTCTCTCTCTCTCTCTCTCTCTCTCCCCCGACTGACTTCCTTTGCCCCTCTCACACTCCTGTCTCAGCTTTAAACAAGTATAGATTTTCTATCATGTGTGGCTGCTGATCAGCACTCTGCCTCCTACCGGTTGATGTATTCTGTGAGGAAAACAGTAATGTTAGCAAATTACATGTGCTGCTCATGTCAGAGTGTGTCTAAACGATAACCCAGTTACAACCATTTGTAGTTCAAGACAGATCTAACTCAAAGACTGGGCGATTTGTGGCTATTTTGGAGCCTTTGGCCAGACAACTGCTGAAAATCAGTCAGTTTTATCAATAAACAAATGAAGTTCACAATTTAAAATAAAGTTGAGTAATCATTCATGTATTTAATTTGGTAAAACTGTCATCAGTGCACTAGGGTTGTCAACGAATATTCTAAATTTGATTATATAATTAAATTGCGATAAAAACAAACAGACATTTGATTGTGAATATTGAGTTGTGAGGAAAACAGCCTCACCATGGCAGACAGGAGTCACATTGAGTGGTCCGAAGACTAGAAAGGCGCTATACAAGTACAGGTCCATTTACCATTTACCATCTCTGCAGCAGAGAGAGTGAGATCTAAGCATCTCTGCTTGGAAATAATTCAATAGCGGCAAATCCCAATGGAAGCTACACTGGGGACTAGATAACTACAGCAGCTAACAAGTTAGCTTGCGTATGGCGTACGCCATATGGCGTCCACCAATTCAAGCCCAGCACGGAAAATCAACTAGATTTCTTACATGTACCATTATCACTGAAGGAAGTAAAGGAATAGCTTAACATTTGACACACTGAACAACAGAGAGCAGCAGAGAGAGAGAAGCCACTGCTAACTGCTAAGCTAAAGTACTGTAGCTAGCAGAACTGAATAGCATGTAAACATTTAGGGACAACATGGTTAAAGGAGAGAGCTATGAGTGCTTGAGCAGAACTACAGTACATTTAAATGTATAGTGTGGAATTATCCGCTACCAGCGAGGCTGCTTCGAGCGGGGCTGTGTGCACAACCAGGAAATCAAATATGATTAAATCGGGGAAAAATTGATTGTTCTCTCTCTTAAAGACAAGCTATGAATTCCCCCTTTCCCTCTGACATACACCGTTCCTATTACATCATTACATCATCTTAACAAGATTTGTAGCTGAGGGTATCTCTGAAGCGCTACAGTACTTCATTATTATGCTGTTTGTCACACAGTTTATCTTAAAAAGTTGCAGCTTCTGTAATTTGCATATTTTATTTCCAATAATATTTTGATTAGCTGTGCATTTTCCTCTTTAGTGCTCAGGTGATTAAGGTGAGCGTTTCCAGCTGCAGCTCCAACACACAATCTGTAAATGCAACTCAAAGTATAAATTGACTGAACAGGAAACCTGCTAACACGGGTCTAACTATATAACAACCATACAAGAGATCCAGCTCATTTCTGCGATTACTCTCAGGCAGGACTACGTTGGCCCACCGCCTTTCACTTTCACTTTGGGACTTAACATTCAGGCAGATCTGTTGGCACGCTGAGAACAACTTGCCTTCAGACCCATGGCTCAGATTTAATCTGTGATAGAAGTTTCTGGAAGGCACTTTTCCTGCACAGGAAGCCTTGATTGACTTCCTGAGAAAAAGGCGTGAGAGGAGAGAAAGCAAACAAGCCAAAGACGGAGGACTCAGAGCACTTTGTGGAAAACACTGATGGAGTGGAAACAAGAGCCGAGGGGGTCACCTCAGGTCACCACAGCTTTAAAGAGAGCAGTGTTGGTGCAGGGAAACTGCTTTATTAGTTGATAGAGATAATGGTGTTATTTCTCTGGTATTATCACAGCCTCTAAAGGAGCAAAACAAACACAAGACGCGCAGCCTGAGAAAGCGTTTGAAGTGTGGTTTTAAACTGGTTTATTTTAGGACTTCAGTGTCTGTTTTTTGTCTCAAGTGTGTCAGAGCAGAAAGTCTCTGATTCAAACATCGCCCTAACCTGCCCTAATCCCTGCAGATAAGACACATAAATAAATGAGGCGCAACTGTTGAGCATTTCAAACACTGCAGACTGTTTGCGTTGCAGTCTGTTTCGGCCTCTAAAACAGCATTCAAGCCTGACTTTTTAGTTTATCAAGTGGATTTTTTTATTTTAACAAAGAGTGAATTCTTTAAAACAAAGCCCATCTTCTGGGTTAAAAACTGAGGATAGAGGTCCTCCAGTCCCACAGTGCTGCTGGGCTATGTTAATTAGTTAAAATCCAATAAATTGTTCCCTACTGCTCAGTACTAATGGTACAGAGCACAGTGGCTTAAATGTATCTTGTAGAACCAAGATACACTTGCAGTCGAAAGCCCTAACCCTGCAGTGGAGCCCCCCTAACACTAGAAAGGAAATCAGACTGGGCCTCTTAAAGATCCATTGTGTAACATTGAGGAGGATCTATTGTCACAAAAGGAAATTAATACTCATAGGTATGTTTTCATTAGTGTATACCCCCTGAAAATAAGAACCGTTTTTGTACCTTAGAATGAACTGTTTTATCTACCTCTTCTACGGAGTCCACCATGTTGAACTGCCGTTGGACAGCGTTGGAAGCAGAGCTCCATTCATTCCTATGAAAGCTGCTCAGTGGCACCTGAAGCCGAAAAAAGCCACTTCCTGGATGAATACATTGTAATTTGTTGTTTGTTGTGATGCTCTAAAAAATGTATCCACCGTTTTACAGTCACTGCTTTGAAAGCAATGGTTGAACATGAAGCGTAATAATGCCTGCTGTGTGTTAGTAGATGTGCTGTGTTTCTATACATCACTGCTCTGCTAAGTACTCAACATGGTTGTATCGGATTTCACCTTGACACACAAGGCTGAAAAATCTACCACACCACAGCAAATTTTCCAGGAAGTCCAATTTTTCTAATGTTTTAATGGATGTTTTTCATAGAAAATGTTTTGACTCATAGCAGAAAAACCACAGGAGTAACTTATACCATTAATGAGAGCATGTTCTATTTAGGTGTACCACTTGCAATGGCTTACCTGTGTAATGTAGCTATTAAGGCTGCAACTGTGAAACAATCAGGTTCCTCTGGCTCCTCCTAGTGCTCCTAATGGTATTTGCAAGAATCCACTGAAAACAACCAATCAGAACTGAGACAATTAGCTGATTGTTGAGTCTCATCCATTGTCAGTATTTGACCCAAGCCACCAAAACCTGGAAATGAGACTGAACAATCAGCTCTTTCTCTGCTCTGTTTGGTTGTTTTTGTTCAGACACTATGCAGTTGCATTTGGCATCAGTGTCATCAGATATGTCTGTCTTCAAATGTGTCTCTACCTCATATATAAAGCAGTGTATACAGCACCTCTCTGATGTTTGTGTACAGTAAACAGTTGGACATCAGTCTGTGCTTTTTCTCCACAATCTTTTTTGAGTTGTTGTTTTCATCATTTCACATGCGCATATTTCCATAACTGTAGATGAAGGTTGTCACAGTCACATGCTTCCTCAACCACCTTTGAACGTGGTTTTGATGATTGGATTTGGATAACATCTTCTTGGATGTGCTCTCCCCTTATCTTCTCAGTAGGGATGAGCCCACAGTGTCGACCCTGTTGTTGTTTACTGAGTGAAAGGATGTGACTGATGGTCTGATTAGCTCTGACATTGACCACAGTCTGTTTATGTTCTCTCCTACTAGAGCTACAAGCTGGCTGTGGAACTCAAACCTGACCAGTCCCAGGCCTGGATGAACATGGGAGGGATTCAGCACATTAAGGTAGCAAACCTCAGTTCATTTCTAAAGTCAGAACACACCAACACTGTACCACACTGTGGTAAGTGAAAAAACTGTTTTCAGTTGGATTTTCCTAAGTCTCAAAGGGAAAAGGTATTACAGAACATTTTGCACATTAAAGCTACACAAGGTAATAACTTTTTGTCATTATTGCTGAACTTTTCACTGTGTTCTGACAGTAGTACATTCCTCTGGCTCAGAGGAACCAGATTTTTCCACAGATAATCTGTCTCATATACTACTGTCAGAATACAATGAATGTTTCAGCAAATATGACAAAAATAGTTTTCTTAAAATTACCTGCTGCAGCTTTAAACTCCTGACAAACATTACTGCTGACGGACAGGAACATAAACATATCCTGGTCATCCACAGATGTTGTTCAAGCTGTGCATTGAGCCAGCTATATGCCTGTGTTTTTAAAACAACAGGAAGTCAGTTATTGTAGTTTAGCAGCTGATTTTGCCGATTACCAACATGGTCAGTAGCAGAGACTGTGACAGTCACAATCAGAAATATTCAACCCCCCAAAGATTTTAAGAATTTATCAATTAAAGTTTTTTCAAAGAGCAAGATTCTGCTAACAGATTTTCTTTCAGAAATCAAGTGTTTAATTGTGTGTGTGTGTGTGTGTGTGTGTGTGTGTGTGTACAATTACACATTGTGTTTAATATCTACGCTAAATATTTACATACATGGACAGCTGTGGCTCAGAGGAAGAGCAGTCATCCCCTAATCGGAAGGTTGTTTGCTCAAGGTTGTATCCTTGAGCAAGATACTGAACCCCGAATTGCTTCTGATGCCGTGCATCAGTGTATGAATGTGTATGAATGATAGTTTCTGTTCAGTGGACTTTGCCATCACTGAGTGAATGTATGTGAAAGGGTGAATGTGGCGTGTAGTGTAAAAGTGCTTTGAGTGGTCGGAAGACAAGAAAGGTGTTGTACAAGTACAGGACAATTTACCATTTACCATTTACATAATTTAAAATCAATACAAAATTGAGAAATTAGATTTCCACACATGTATTTTAATTTCCTATTTCCATTTATAAGCACATCAAATAAAATCAGATCATTTTCAGTTTTTATTTTCAAAACCAAAAATTGGAAAACTTGTTGTTTTATTGTCAGGAAATGGCTACTTTTCTGAGTTTGGTTTTCTCATTTCAAAACAAAAATCTGTTGGCTGCAAGTACTCCTGTCAGCCTCTAGTAGGCAGGCTAGCAGGAAACGTGTTCTCACCGAGCGGCAACCTCCATGCCTACAAATGAAGCCAACGCTGAAGTAACAAAAACCACAGTTCCTCAAACGGCCACTTGAGGCTGGCTCCAGAAGTGAGTCAAACTCCATTAGGCCCCATGTTAAAATGTCCAACTTCACAGCAGAAAGAAACATGTTTGAACACACCATAATGTGTACAGTATATAATGTATATTGTTTGTGTGTGCAGGGAGACTATGCAGCAGCCAGGATGTATTACCAGCGAGCCCTGCTTCTGAGCCCCGGTTCCAAACTGCTAAAGGAAAACCTTGCCAAGCTGGACCGGCTGGAGAGGAGACTGACAGGTGGGGCATAGACTACCACAATTCCCCAGATACTGCACCATCGTGGGCGCAGATCAGCCGAGCAGGGCACCACCCAGCTTCTGGAGCCCAAACACCAGCCACACTAGGCTGCTGGATAAAACGGACCTGGTTACTGAGACCTGCCTGTGCGAGAGCAGAGGAGGAGGGTCCAGTTGACCCGGCATGCTGGAATCAAGGAGACTGGTCAAGCCACAGAAGCCTTTTCCAGGGTAGGCAGAAGGCAATGGCTGGTTTAAGACCACTGGGAGCTTGTGTGTTGCCCTAAATACATCAGCTTTACTTCATCTGCTTCAGACATCTGTGTTTGATTGATTTATTGTTTAGGATCATGTGAAGTCTTTTATTTTATGGCACTTAATCACAGATTATAATTCAGTCCTCTGCTCTGCCTATGAGAATTATTCATTATTATATTTACATTAGTGCAGTGAAAGTTTGTGGAAAATGTTATTATGAAGGAAATGAGCATCTTGACAAAATTTTGACCTTTGGGAGCAATATTTGTAACTAAGTGATTGAAGCTCAAAGGCCGACTTCCTAGGCAAAGGTCTTCTTCAGCGAATGGAGCTCACTTGGGTGTCATCCCACACGCATAAAAACATCGGTCACATGAAGACCGGTGGTCAGTCAGTGTTGACCAGGAGTCAGTGCACAGCCACAGAAAAATCAAGGAGGACATTCACATCCAACACCAAACCAGAGTCACAAGCAGGGTTGGGGAAGTTTCTTTAAAGATGTAGCTCATGAGGCTACATGCTGGTCTTCGCTGGAATCAATAAAGGTACAACAACACTACACTGCGGTTAAAAGTAGTCAATTCATAGGACAGGTTGGCTGTCGTTCCCACTCACAGACAGCACATTAACCAGATAACAGCAAAGTTTAATTTGGCCTTTTCGCAAGTAACATATGACAGTAATGTTAAATAACTACAGCTAATATGATTTGCTGCAGGCAACATTTGTCATTTAAGCCAGCAAAAAGCACCAAGTAAACCTGAACCTTTACATGTTTGATTGTGATAATCGGAGGTATCATTGGTTGTGCAGTGTAGGGCTTGTTATTCAAAGCATGTAATTTATTACTCATTACTCTTTTTAAAAGTAAAATAATTACTTATTAGTCCCTGTTAACAGTAATTAGTTACACTACTAGTTATATTACTTTTCTGCCACCCCCTATCAAATTGGTAATTGTGTCCTTTCTCCCACAAATTCAGACTTATAACGATTAAAATCCAGTTTTGTTTCTCAAAATAATGGAATATTTCCAGCTGCTGAATGTAAGTGTTTCCATCTTTCATGCTAGTTTCCTGTTTTGTGATGAGTACAATGACAAAAATGATGTGATGTGAAGGAAGTGATTGGATGGTTGGATTTCAGATCAGTATGAGGTTGGAACTAATGACTTTGGAGGGGTAACTGTAATATTATTACTGACATTTATTAGAAAATAGTTACACTACTAGTTACTGGGGAAAGTAATATTATTACTCGTAATGCCTTACTGGCCAATACTGGTAATGTACAATACAATTGGCTGCTGTCAGACTGATTCAAACTATGTCTTTTGTCAGTAAAAGAGCCAGTTTACTGCACACTTTTTATAAAAATCATTTCGGGGGGGATAGCTACAGATTTCAATTCAAAAATAAAGTGAAATCACATGATGACACCTGGGCCAGCTCGGTTCACTGAAGAGATTCAGTTGAAAGCTCTGAAAAGCTAATAAGTGGACCTTTGAGTTTGGATTGTTGTGTTGCACATGAAGAGAATGGTTTGACATAATATAAAACAGAGCTCTAAGATTATCTGATTTATCAGATAAGTGGGAATGTTTCATAAAAGCTACGCTCTCCTTCTCCATAAATTCTACTGTTCATCTGACCTCCTTTTCCAGAACTGGCTGCAGTATAAGACTGATGTTGCGAGCCTTCTGCAAGTATAATAAGCTAGTGTGTCCACTCCTGTGTGCGGAATCTTCATGCGTACCTCTGAGGTCGCAGTTTGGTTGCTTGTTGTGGGTTTCTTGACAGTGATGTTGATTGTGAATGAATTTTGTTGTGGAATGACAATTGGATGAAAAATGAAGTGACTAGTGCAATGACTGACTTGCACCAAGAAAATAAAGTATATGTTTTATTAAATGGTGTTTGGAGTTATTACTCTTCAGATGTCTGTCTATTAATGTCCCCTCCAGTCTAAAATCAGTATTTCTTTTTGTTCCTACAGTGTGATGTTTGAGCTCCACTGTGCAGAATGATGTATGTGCAGAATTCGATACTAGAAGGATGTTTTCACACTGACACCAGACTTTACAGTGAAGGGGGAGACATATTGTGTCCAGCAGGAAAAGTTTAGAAATTAACTTAATTTGTGTGCAGCTCAAAGTACCTTCATACAGACCACACATAGAGCAAGTGAGCAGTGAAAGGCAGAGATAATAAGCCCAGTTTACGTTTAAGTTAGTAGCCTACATCACAACGTGGTTGTATGTTGAATAAATAACTGAGAGAGGGGCATCCTGCACAAATAACAGGCCCACAACTCTACTGTCATACAAGGTTAAACCTCCAGTAATAGTGCATGTATTAAAAAGAACACCAGTTGTCTTCATCTGCGTAAACTGAGGCTCATTAGGGCTTTTCACACTGCACTTAGTCCAGGGCTTCCCATGGACCCAATCCTGGCACATTTTAATTTCAACTTTATCCTGGGGTTTGCTGGCCCTGCTCTGGTGTAGGGTTAGCCTCGAGTTTGTGGGGTTATTTTTTGAGAATGGACTAAACACAGGGCGAAAAGGTGCCAGTGTGAAACAGGGCTAAAGTAAACAGAATGTAAGAATTGTAAACATTAGTTGCGTGTCACAACAGGAGATTTAACCCAGGGCTAGTAGAAGTTCAGTGTGAATATTTTAACCCTGGATTTAAACAGGTTGTGTGTGAAAATGGGCTAAATTATTCCAGGCCTAATTAAAAGCCTAATTAAGGAAAAGGCTGCCAACCCCTGCCTTACATGCTCACAATATGAACATGCTGATGTTCATCAGGTAGGATTTTACCATCTTACTTTAGCATGCTAATATTTGCACATTAGCACTAAACACACAAGCACAGCTGAGGCTGATGGGAATAACATTACTTTTCCAGGTATCAGTAAGTTTAGGCATGAATGTAAAATGTTCTTTAAATATGAGCAGCACTTCATGGCTTTGTTTTACTTGGAATTCTTGGAACTACCCCGCTGTGTTTATTTGCAGCCGCCACACATCCCTAACTGAGGAAACAGAAACTGGATCTGTTTCAGTATAAAGAGCTCCACTGTCCCACCCATCAGGCCTTCATTTACTGTGTCATGGACACCCAAACAAGATAATCACCGGAGGGCAGTGGCATACACCCAGCGCTGCGAGAGCGCAGCAGAAATAAGATTTGCTTAGGACGGAATCCTCTCAATAAACTGCTCTTCACAGCCAGGCGAGGTCCATTTCCTGAGGGTAATGGGAGCAGAGAGAGACTACTGAACCTCGGCAACAGCCTTGTTTTTAAGTTGACAACAAAAAGTTAACTTCACTTTCTGGATATAACTAAGGCAAGAAAGAAAAACAGTGGCGATAATTTCTTGCGATAAGCTTGGCTAGACTATTCTTATAGCAACAGCAGGCAACACAGTTTGCCATCAACAGGAAAACAGTAGTATGGAATCGGTAAAACTTCTATTTTCAGGATCAAATAACTCAGACTCAAAACACCCTGCAAGCCCGATGAAATTAATCAATTATCTAAATTACAAACATGTCTTAAGGACATAAAATCCTGGATGAGCTGCAATTTTCTGATGTTAAACTCAGAAAAAAACGAAATTCTTGTTCTTGGCCCCAAAAACCTTAGAGACTCACTGTCTAAAGATATAGTTACTCTAGATGGCATTTATTTGGCCTCTAGCACCACTGTCAGGAATCTTGGAGTTATCTTTGATCAGGATTTATCATTTAACTCTCACATAAAGCAGACCTCTAGGACTGCCTTCTTTCATTTACGTAATATTACAAAAATCAGACACATACTATCACAGACAGATGCAGAAAAACTAATCCATGCATTTGTTACTTCAAGGCTGGATTACTGCAACTCTTTATTATTAGGTTGCCCCAATAAGTCCATTAAAATGCTCCAATTAATTCAGAACGCTGCAGCACGAGTACTGACAGGAACTAGAAAAAGAGATCACATCTCTCCTGTACTAGCTTCTTTGCATTGGCTCCCTGTAAAATGTAGAATAGAATTTAAAATCCTCCTCCTCACCAATAAAGCTCTTCATGGTCAGGCCCCTTCATATCTTAAAGAGCTCATAGTACCCTATTACCCCTCTAGAACACTACGTTCTCTGAATGCTGGGCTACTTGTGGTTCCTATAGTCTCTAAAAGTAGAACAGGAGCCAGAGCCTTCAGTTACCAAGCTCCTCTCCTGTGGAACCAGCTTCCAGTTGTGGTTCGGGAGGCAGACACCCTCTCCACATTCAAGAGTAGGCTTAAGACATTCCTCTTTGATAAAGCTTATAGTTAGGGCTGGATCAGGTGAGTCCTAAACCATCCCTTAGTTATGCTGCTATAGGCCTAGACTATCGGGGGATTTCCCATGCTGCACTGAGCTCCCTTCCTCTCTTTTTCTGCACTCATTCATGTCCCATTAATGCATGTTACTAACTTCACTTCTTCCCCGGAGTTCTTGTGCTTTCTCGTCTCGTAGGTTCTTATCGATCCTGGTGGAGCCTCCTGCCATGGTCCTGCTAGATTGCCATTGCCAATACTGTTGTTGCTGTGCACCTGTCTGTCTGTCTGTCTGTCTCTCTCTCTCTCTCTCTCTCTCTCTCTCTCTCTTATCAGAGTTGGGTCATGAATGGCAAGTTAGAACAGAGATCACAGCAGGCTCACTGACCAGCTGCTGCTTTTAACAGTGAAGTCCTCTGAAGGAGAGAGGAATGGAGACAGGAGAGGAAGCTGATTTAGAGCAGAGTGAGACAGAAAAAGGAAGAGGAGGTGAAAGAATAGTGTAATTTATTCCTGTCTGTCTGAGAAACAGCAGCATCAGCTGTATTCACTGCCACACTGACAGACAGAGAGAGATGCTGCTGTTTAAAGACAATTAACAAGGTTTGGAGTTTAGCAGAGACAGTCCAGCTCTACCTGCGCACCCCCCAGAAACATGGGACACTGTCTAAATGTACATTAATTTTGCACTATTACTCCGAATATCACAATACTCTGATTTGATGAGGGTCATGCAAACAGAATATTCCATTTGATATTCCTAATCAGGATTTATTCAGAATGGAACATTTTCAGATTGAGACATGTATCAATACATACTGATATTATTCAGGTTTTAGGAGCATTTCTTTACATTATGAAAGACTTGGATATCAAATCTGTGTGTAAAGGTAACAACAAGTGCGACACAAAGAGGCAAAATGGCTCAAAAAGCTCTAGCTGTTCCACTTTTACCACGGGAACAACATGACTGCAGTTTGAAAAGAGGCAAAGGGAAAGAAAAAGACAGAGGGAAACGGAGGTACATAGGACATAAAGTACGTCATTAACAGTTAGGTTAGTCAGTTAAGTATGCACATCCGCATGTAAACATTTTTTAAGGAACCAAAAGTTATTAGACAATTGACTCAAAAGCTATTTCATGGGCTGCATGGGCTATTCCCTCGTTAATCCATCATCAATTAAGCAGGCAAAAGGTCTTGAGTTGATTCCAGGTGTGGCATTTGCATTTGGAAGCTGTTGTTGTGAAGCCATATTATGCTATCAAAGGAGCTCTCAATGGAAGTGAAACAGACCATCCTTAGACGGCAAAAAAGCAGAAATGCATCAGAGAGATAGCGGAAATGTTAGGAGTGGCCAAATCAACAGTTTGGTACATCCTGAGAAAACAAGAGCGCACTGGTGAGCTCAGGAACTCAAAAAGGCCTGATCGTCCATGGAAGACAACAGTGGTGGATGATCGCAGGATCCTTTCCATGGTGAGGAAACCCCCTTCACAACATCCACCCAAATGAAGAACGCTCTCCAGGAAGTAGGTGTATCAGTATCAGAATCAAAAACAATTTAGTGATGGTTAGTTTAACTCAGTTTAGTCTATCAAATAAGAGATAAACAGCAGCAATCTGATTGAATGACGTGTGGTAACATTGGATTCAAGGCACTTTAAGACAGTGGTTCCCAACCTGAGGGTCTGAGCCCCCACAAGGGTACAGCAAGCTTCACAGGGGGATGCGAGACTTTCTTGATTTTAAGGGGTGTAAGAAAACTTTATAAATGTACACAATAGGCCTATATCTCAGCATTTTGTTCATTTCTGTTAAGTAATTACTGAATTAAATTTTTAAAGTTTAGATTGTTTCTTATCATTTAAGCTTTGAAGACTTGAACACAAGCTATATTCACGGAGCCTTCACTCTCTGGCTGTTTTCTAATGCAGGAAAGCTGTTTATCAGAGAGCTAATAGAGCAATTAGAAAAAAAACAATGAATTTGTCAAAAAAAAGATGCCTATTAAGTAAAAAAGTATATATGAATGATTTATAGTAGAGCGGAAGGAGCTTTTTAAACTGCTCTGTATATTTTACTGCAACACAAACACTAAAATATGATAATGTTGTCTGATGTTAACTGCAGTTAGTTATGGATTCGTCCATGGTCTGGGCTCGATTCCTGGTCAATAAATGTAATTTTAATATTGCGATGGGCTTGTGGCCAACCAAGATGCTTTCTGTACCACCATTCCGTACTTCATGCTAATATGCCCCAATCACCTTGGCAATGACTAAGTGCATGTTTCATGAAGGCTCTCCTGAATCTTGAACGACGTGTTACAAAAAAAGAGCTTGAAGCCCTTGTTTCCAAAATGCATGCATGTGTTGAGGAATTTGACAAACCTTTGTAATACTTTACCAGAACTGCGTGCAATGAGTGTCCTGTCATGAAAAGCGACTGCATGTTACGAACACAGTGGAAGCTGTGGATTGGCCCAGACTGTGAACCTGATCATTGTGACATTCACAACTGTAGCAGGTACTTTGTGAAACACAAGTCTGAAATACTCTACCTCAAGTTTTTGAAAAGCCTTCTGAGAAGACAGTG